TATTTGAGTTACCAGGTGTTATAATAACATGTATAAACTGTATTATCAGAGTTTAACAGCTAAAAGCTAGCACATGACTTATTTTTAAAAAATACATGAAATACTTTGCTTTGTCTACTACATGGTTTGATTATATTGTGAAAATAATGGTTATAGAGAAGTAGGACGTTTTCCGCAATAGTGCTATTTACAATGCTTAACTCAGAAAATATTTTGCAGGTAGCATGGCCAGACCAAAAAGAACCTAATTTCGGCAGGCCCCGAGAAAGCATTCCGGGAATTCGCATTGGTGGGATTGAAGCATTGATAACAACACTAAACTTCCATTTCATTTACATATTACCAGCTTATCTTTTCCGAGAATAGTAAATACAAACTTGACAACACGACCTAGAGTGACCCGAATAAATATAATTTGTATGAATTGAAACCATGGGCTTTAGCTACCATGCCGAAACTTAGGCGGTATTGTTTCGTCTTGAATTGACTCGTGTAGTGCGAAATACTACTCGGACGGCAAACCCACATACAGCGGATACTGTCAACTAAGGTTTATTCAGCACAGTATTAACATTCACACGCCCCTGTTCGGGGTTTTGTAGTCTGCCTATCCCTCTGGTATGTGGTGATATTTATATCAGATTAACTAGGACGCGTCGACATGACATCACAAAAGTGCCGCAGAAAATAGGAACCTAATGACCAATTAGCAAACCTTGCAGCACACTGCAGAAACCTGATGTGCAATCGAACTACTGTTTAATAATTATTCTGGTCACCCAATGTTAGAAAGTCATTGCTATATCGTTGAACCATGTCTTCATATTCATAACAACTTCCTGGGAACTACAAATACTGCTTTCCTTGTACGACGAAGTGAACGTAAGTTTTCCAGCCTCAGCACACGCACACACACACACACACACACACACACACACACACACACACACACACACACACACACCACACACACACAAACACACACACACACACACACACACACACATATATATATATATATATATATATATATATATATATATATATATATATATATATATACTATGCACTTGAGAAAAGCGCAGTATAGGAAACAAAACAATAAAATATTTATGTAATCCTAAAATTTTCGGCTGGTGGGGCAGCCTTCTTCGGAGGATCTAAGCGAAATGATACAAGTTCCTGTAGCAGAGGGCCACATTCACAGTTTGGAGACCCCCAAAACAAAAAAAAACGAAACACACGGGCGAACGAGGAGAGAAACAGACAAGAAGAAGAAGAGGAAGAAGAAAGGAGCGAGCGACGGAGAGCCGTCGGAAGCGTGCGGGTAATCCTTGCATTGTTATTAGTGATAGATTAGACGCGCCGCCAGCGTAGGCAACCAAGGAAACAATGTCACCTTAAAGTGATGTCACCTTGCAACTCATCTCCCGGGCGCTTCTATTTACTACCCAAAATTTACAAGATTAACAATCCCGGCCGACATATAGTTTCCAGCAACGGTACTGCTACTGAAAAAAAAATCTCTAGTTTCATTGGCTTTCTCATTAAGCACATCCCACAATCATTCCCCTCATACATTAAAGATACCAGCCACTTCATTCGAGAAGTCTCAAAATTTGTGGTACCTCCAGAATGCTATTTGGTCACCTTGGATGTCTCATCGCAGTACGAAAACATTACCCATACCGAAGGAATCGCCGTCACTATCGCCGCCTATGGAAAAAGTAAATCGACGAGTGAGTTCGACAAAAGCGCTTTAAAAGGTGCTTTTAAATCTTGTACTTAAACATAACTTTGAATTTGACCAAAAACTTTACCTAAAAGTAAACGAAACTGCTAAGGGAACTAAAATTACGCAAATATTTTCATGGCCTCTTCACAGATTCCTTTCCTCGAAAATTCTCCATTATGACCGATATTCTCCCGACGCTTCCTCGGGGATATATTCTTCGTGTGGGCTGATGGTGAACATAACCTTTCCAAATTCATTTCCTATTTCAACTACCTGCATCCTTCGATAACATTCACGCACACGTATTTGCAGAAGCGCGTTCACTTCCTGGATGTCATTGTGTCACTCAGGGGCACTACCATATCTACTTCCCCGTATAAAAAACCAACAGACCACCAACAGTATACGCAGTTCCACAGCGGTCACCCCCATCACTGAAAAACAGGTGTTCCTTACTCTCAAGCCACAGATACAGAAGAATTTGCTCTGAAATCACGCCATTTCACACCCATGCACAAGAATTGAGAGCAGCCATCATGCGTCGAAAGTACCCAGAAAAAATGATTGACAATGTAATTGAGCGTGCTTGATCTTTGGACCGAGAATCAACAATGGCAGAAACAGGCGGAAATAAAGGTATAACTTCAGGGGAAAATTTAATCCTCACATACTCCACCGCCACCCCTCAGGTGAATTCTATACTAAGCCGCCACTTCAACATACTTAAACAGAGTAGTCGCCTCTCTGACGTTTTTCAGACTCCGCCCAAGGTGGTTTACTGAAGAAATAAAAACCTGAGAGACTTACTGCTCCGGGCGAAAACACACAAATTCGACCATCATCAGGGCTGTAGACCGTGCGGGAAACCTGGCTGCAGGGTGTGCACACACATGATGACCGCAGATAAGGAGGAAACCTCCTGTTCAGACTATGTGTAAAAAATTAAAAACGACCTTAACTGTGACTCAGCCAATGTGGTATACAAAATTTGCTGTGAGGTGTGCAAACAGGAATATATTGGACACACGAAAACCGCGTTCCGTTTGCGTTTCAACAACCACAGGGCACGCGTAAAGAGCCTCCCCAACTCGCCCTTCTCTAAACATGTCAACCTTCCTGGTCACTCTTTCGAACTTGTAAGTGGCATACTCCTACAATCCGGCTTCGAGAACACGCGGAAGCGCGAACAGCGGGAGTCATACTTCATAAAGAAATTCAGATCACTTACCCACGGAATCAACGAGAGCCCTGGGCGATTGACTTGCCTCCCAAAGTTTCGTGAAACACAGAAAGTGAATTACTCAATTAATTTATTTATACATATGTGAAGTCGCACACGTAGGATGATCAATATAGCGCGTGCAAATAAACGAATTCGATGCTACGCGCATCAAAAGGCGCCTGTTAGTATTATTATATCTTATTTTTAACTTCAGGTACAATTTATCATTTTTTGTTGGCGTTTTTGTTTGTTCGTCCTTTAAAGAATATCCATTCATTTATTCGATGTATGACTGGTTGTACGTTTTTCTGCGAGAGGGCAGATGGAGGGAGGGGGGGAGAGGACACATTAGTTTTGCAACGTGACCAATATTTTCCTAAAGCTGGAGCGGGTCGTATGTTTCTTGTGTGTGTTTGTGTGTGTGGCCCGATTCCGCAGGCCAGCCGCCGAACCACGTGAACATTAACTCGATCCATGTGTGGCATACGAGTAAGCGGCAATATGTTTCACTTTTTTCCCTTTTGCTAGGTCGCCTTCTGTGGCGGCGCACCTTATCTACCCCAAGTAACAATGCAAAGATTACCCGACCGTTTCCGACGGCTCTCCGTCGCTTCTTCCTTTTTTCTCTTCTTCTGCTTGTTGTTGTCTGTTGCTTTTGTTTTGGGGGTCTCCAAACTGTGAGGGTGGCCCTCTGCTACGAGAACTGGTATCATGTCGCTTAGAGCCTCCGAAGAAGGCTGGTCTACCAGCCGAAACTGTTAGGAATAAATAAAGAATTTATTGCTTTGTTCCTTATACTGCACCATTCTCGAAGTTAATAGTTTTATTACGGTAGCCAGAAGAAACAATGATCATATATGATATATGACAACTCTGATATAAATAAATAAATATATATATATATATATATATATATATATATATATATATATATATATATATATATATATATATATATATATATACAGAAGAATAACTTCGGTTGCTGAAAGGTTATAAATATGAAAGTAGATGCGCTTTCACAAAACGACCTTTCATTGTGCCTATTGTAACAGTTATGTGAAAGCGCATCTACTTTCATATATATATATATATATATATATATATTTCAAATTCGTTGATAAGCCGAATTGGCTCAAGGGTTCACTGTTTTCCAGCTGTGCATGGAACCTCAAAACGTGGTAGTGGCCCCAACATGCTACTAATATGTTTGTTCAAAAGCGTATCGCATGAAAAGGCACCTGCATGAATTTTCATATGATTTGCTAGCTTCATTTTGGCAGTTCCTTATGTAACATAAGTGCACCAGTTTTTTTGCGCGTACATTTTTGTTAGAAATATTAGCACACTTGTTTTGTTTGTCTTGATGTATAAATTGTGAATACACAGTCAAGGCTCGTTTGGAAAGAATTTCGTTGCTTTGTTTTTCCCTTGAGGCGTTATACCATCTTCAGCCAATCAAATATGTTACATTATCGGCATGACTGAACGTTGACTCGTTTTTTTTTTCTTTAGAAACAGATATTTTGAAGTAACCTTATTGATGACATTTAATGGTATATAGAAGCAATAAGCAACAAGATTTAGTCTTGATGAAAAAATTACATCACTGTTCATTACTTGCACTTTAAAAGGCAAGTGTTAATAGGTCACCAGGATGGCGTGATGCGGAAAAGTCATTTGCCTTTCGTAAAACTACAGCACGCTCGTTGTTTGCACAGCACCTAACCACTATTCCAATGCGGCGAATACTGAATTGCACCTTGGGTAACTCGTCGTCACTGCAGTCCCGGTCCTGAACGAGGAGAGACGGGGAAGGAACGCATGAAAGGAATAACAGAAAATGTAGGCGTTTGTAGCTTAGAGACCATTAACTTTAGGCAGCTTGCTGGGAAAAAAAACAGAGTGATAAGCATGTTACAACAGCGCAGCCTGTGATTTTTTGTTTCATTTCTGTTGCATTTTCAATGTTATCACAACATGAGCGAAAAAGTTGCTGACTTTTGAACAGAGTGCCATTGCGATGTCTTGCTATGCACGCAGGCGGTCGTCACCAGGCAACACAACGTGTGTCACCAGAAGACGCCCTGCTACACCACTATCGCATCTGTGAGTTCGGAGGCTTCGACTGTGTCAAGCAACCTTCCATAGTGGATCGCTCGGCCCTGCGCTTCAACACCTCACTGCTCGAGCGTGTGAACAGCGTCTGCGCACAGGCTTTCCCGGATGTTGGACGCTGTCCTAAAGCTCCAGGCCTAGGAAGCCCTTGGTGACCGTTACCGAAGTGGAAAGATCTGTATGGCCGAGAACGTGTTCGAGCACCAATAGCGTTTTCTGTATACCGAGAGTTGCAGCGTATAGAAAAAGAAGGCGGTTGTGAAGCGCGGAGTTACTATTAAAAAAGATGTAGATTGGTGGTGCAGTAATTTTTTTTTGCCATTGGTGCCCACATTTGTCTCCTCAGAAGTGACCACATTAAAAAAAAATGGTCGAGCGATTCCAACGCACAGGATTTGCAATTGTTCATAGGTGATTGTTGATCTAATGTGACAAAATTGCAGTCAGGCTGACACTATTGCTTGGCTCACAACTTCAGAAATAAGAAGCGTCTCACTTTTGCAACCTGCCCGTATATAAGAGCGGTTGGAAGAATCTTTCATTTTACTGATGTAGACTTTCTTGCTGCTGTCCTACGATGATTTTCTGTAAAAAATAACGAAGTAACCGCTACATAAGAAATTCACACCCTTTTTTGCTCCTGAGAGCTGCACATAATAATTGCACTCCCTGTTGCACAGGAAAGTGACATTGCAGAAAAAAAAAACGATGAAATGTTAGGTAGGTCACATAAGTTTTTTACTTTTGTCAGTTTTAGTATGAGGAAAAAAAGGTTTCAAGATAAAGGTGATCTTTGGCGATGCTTCTGTCCTTATTCAAGATAACGGCACGGGAAATTTTCTTCTTCTTTGATTCCGGTTGAACCAATTTACGTATACCTGTGTACCACCCGTGCCCAGAAACATGCATTAGCGACTGAATTGATTTAGAGAAATTACCTGAAATATTGGGATAACATTATAGGTGCCCCCCAGCACCTTCTCAAGAAACCATATAGAAGATTCACATAATGCATTATTGCTTAAAGAATTCACTGCCGCAAAACGTTTTCGAATTCATATAGAATGAGCAAAATGCAAGATTTGTATCGCCCTTCAATCGTATTCTCACTTCTCTTCCCTATGATATTGCTGGTAACTAAGCAGGAAGAGATGTCATCGGGCAAAAAACGTCACGCGCAGCTCGTGTCATATTTTCAGTCAATAGGTATGCCCCGTCATTGTTCGAAATGGTATGATTTTACTGGTTTTGCCGATAATGCTTGTCATGACGCATTTTTGTTAAATCTGTTATCGAGAGGCGTTCTCCAAATTGTTCATCTTTTGTCGTAATAAAGTTAGAGTTTTATGACATGAATGATTTCTGCACAATTCTGCCATCATGGTGACTTTTCTTGCTCTTCCAGAACAGCCTCGTAGTTCATCGAATCGATATATCTAATATCAGCGAAAAAAAATGATCTGAAAAAAAAAAGTAGCTTTACAGACCGGCCACGTATTCGTATGTAAATCCACTCTCGTTCTCTGTTTGCCGGTGCATACTGCATGCCTCTTCGTCGAAGATTATATCGATGCGTGTGGGCTTTTTGTTGCTGGTGAATACGATGTCACGCAATCTGTTTCGCATGGAAGAAAGCTTGTCGTTTTTGTGCTTGGGTAAGTGGCAAGCAAAGCCCGTCGCAACTCAACGGGTGAAATTGTGGCACATTCATGGTTCTCGAAGCACGTTCGTGTGCTATCCTCTGTACGAGCAGTAAACATGCCTCATTTTCCAATCTGCTTCCCATTCGTTAGCCCTAGCGATACGTTCGTGTGCTATCCTCTGTACGAGCAGTAAACATGCCTCATTTTCCAATCTGCTTCCCATTCGTTAGCCCTAGCGATGCACTAGAATAGTTTTAGCCAATCCTCCGTGTCTTTGTAGGCGTTGCCGTGAAAATGCTGTGGCATCAATTCACTGCAATGTTAGCTGGCATAAAAACAGCTGTCACGTCCCTGGCATTCCCGCTCACAACAATTGATTTAAAGAAAGAATCTGGTGAACGCGCGTGTTCGGCGGCCTCACCGCGCTAATGATAGAGAGAGCGCTGATGTTGCATTCGAAGAACGTTTATGTTTCGAGTTTGGCATCCGAAAAGGTAAGGACTAAAGGCAGGTCACTGTGGGAAACACGTCATCGCTTCACTTTCATTATTGTAACCACTGCAAAGCCTGATTTTTCTTCAACGTGACCAATTGAGCTGTAGCCGAGTGGCACTGCGGTAATGCTTTACCCCCCGCTTCCCGCTATTCTTTTCTTCACCTTGCTTATGTCCGAGGCTGCAGAAGCAAGGTGTGAGTACGTACTAGTCGGTATTACGTTTCCTTGTGCCACTAGGGCGCATTTGAGGAAATGGGAGAACAAGGTGAATAAAGACGAGCGCTGACTTCCAACTGACATTAATATTGCACTCAACTGAGCCAATTAATTGCTTGTCCTTCACAGAAAGTTCCGGTGGAAGTCAGCGCTCGTCTTCGTTGTTCTCCTAGTCTCGTGTGCTCTCTGGCGCTGTATTTAACTCAATGATATGCAGCTACAGGACTCAACTCAAACAGCACATCTGCGAGGAAGATTTGTGTGTCAACTTGGGGCTTGAAGTGTTGGTGAGTTGCAGAAATCAGTCGCCGAGACGTTCGCACGTTTGAACGCTGGCTGATGTCACCTTTAGTCTGCAAGTGATCCCAGATGTTGTTGGCCTTCACGCGGACACCAAAATTAGGTTTGCTTTTAAACTCGACGGGACCTATCACTGGTGTATTTGTTTTCTATAGAGCTTGATTAATGGTTGTCTTAAGGTTACAACTCCTCTTGAATGCGTTATAGACATGATTTTGCCTGTCAGGTTACTGAAGAACATACCAAAACAAGTTGCGCTTGAACTAGTTATATGGTGATCTCGGCTCGTTCCTTTTACCCCACTCTGCAACACCTTGTCGCAAAAACTTGTTTCCCACACTGCGGTTCCCACTTCCTATGGGTTCTTGTGTACCGCCATTGTTAGGTGTACAGGTCCAGCAAATGTTGCTAAGGGGCGTTTTTAGATCCGAAGCATGCTCGTGCTCAATCCAGTGTGAGGCGTGGCCATCCTTACAGCGAATGCGTGCCCTTCACTCTCCTCTCGTACGTGCCTCCCTCTCTCACCCCGCAACACCGGCGCAGGCAGCGTCGCTAACCTATGCTCGCGTCCCCCTCTCTCTTCTCTAGGTATCCCTCCCAACGGCGTTTACAAACCCATCGCTTATGCGTTCCTCTACCCCTTTTTGTCCTCTCCTGCGCTCCTCCTTCTCTCCTCTCGCAATGGCGACGCAAGCAGCACCTGGCTGCTAATGAGTTTTTTTTTATAGAAAAAAATGGCACACCCCACGTCCCCGGGAATCGACATATCGTCGAACTATTCTTAAACTTGCGTAGGCGGTGGCGGCGGTAGCATACACAAGGGGCAGACGAATGTGCCCATTTTCCACACGAGCAGTCGTGGTTTTCCGGCTGCTCTGGCGTTTCTTTTTTGGTTTCGCTTCTCGCGTGTGAATATAGCCTTAGAAAGTCGGGCAAGCTGATGGGCGCTACGTCGACTTCAACAAGCCGGCAACCCGGATCACGGCATCTACTGTGTCGGTCCCTGCAGATTCTTAGACGTATTCAGCTTTTCATGGACACACACAGATCAGTGCTCCTGGCAACCACAACTCGAAGCTCTCACGTTTTAGTTGGGACGGCGTCAATTTTCGACGAATAAAAATCGTAGAAGCGGAAATTTTCAAACTTCCTAAAGGCATATGTTCTAGGAGCTGTATTGCACATCAAAAATGCAGCATCGCTAACGTCCAGGCGTCCATTATAGCTCCCATGGCGAATAAAGTTTACGCAATAGAACTCCGTAGTAGCTGCCGAAACCATGCCAAAAAGAAGACGCAATTCGCAACAAAAAAGTCCGTACAAAAAAACCAATAGAAACTTGCAAATTTCCCAAAGAACTGAGTAGTTAGAAGACTAGCCTTTGATTTGAGCCCCACAATCATGTTTCTGCGTGACGAAAAATATGTTTTAAATTGCAGTTTTTTACAACGCAGCCGCAGCTTCAACTCGCGCGTTTTGAACCACAGGACTTCGATAACACGAATCATATTGTCACGTGGTCGTGATGTGGCCAAAGACACGAGACTTTGTGTTGGGATTTATCTGTTTATTTGGGGCTGGGCCGGTTAACGGAAAGTCCGTTTACAGTAGCAGTCTTGCACAGATAGCAACAAAGAGAAGTTTATTGACTTCCAAACAAGGATAAAGTACATGACAAAAACATCGAGCTTCATGACTACAAAGGGTGCATGTACAATAAGGAAAGCACCACTACCGAGGTACAATGTATGTGGGGGAATGTACCCCTCTATTTACTGTACAGCGCGTGGTGCTCCAGCAGGCTTAACCATGCACGGCGGTAGGTCTTCTCAACACGCGGTTGGAACAAGTAGCGACTTAGCGCTGTACAACTGTAGGTATTATTTCTTTTTTGTCGCCTGAAACAATGCTGCTTTCGTACACGGTAAGTGCATGCCCGGAAATATAAAAGAGGCCTTGAGGCTGAGGGGGGCAGGGGGGGGTAGAAGGGAGTGGGGGGGGTCTTGTCTCCCCCCAAATAAGGCATCAGCAACAATCTGCGCGTAAAAAACTGACTGAAGGCGCCAATCAATGAAGAAGGCGCTATACAAAAATTAACTCAAGTGTCGACCAGCACTTTGCCCGAATCGATTACAAATAACAACGACAATGGGGTGATGAAATGAAAAAGGTGATACAGATATATGTATATATATATATATATATATATATATATATATATATATATATATATATATATATATATGTATATATATATATATATAAATATATACAAGTCCCCTTCTGCATGTGCTAGACAGCAGGAGGGGGGTCACCAGGTAGTGATTGGGGCAGCTAGCTTGCCATTCCTCAAAAAAAAGAATTTGGTATGCCAGCGACGAAGGAAGTTTTCCTCGCCGCTGGCCTCGAGTTCGCCGGATAGGTGGGCCCATAGCAACAGCCGGATACGCGAGACTACTGGAAACGCACTCCGCACAGGCTTTCTACGCGCCTCCGCTAGCGATCTCCTTTGCCAAATAGCTAGCATCGTGAAGATCAGCACAAGTTGGCAGAAGGCACCTTTGTTGCGCTTGGGGTTGGGAGGTGGGCGGATACCAAAGGAGTGGGCTACCATCCGCCACACGAGTTTCACCGCCACGCATTCTAACAACGCGTGATCCTGCGATACAACTGCGTGACAGTTCGGGCAACGTGCATCCGGGACTATTCAAAATTTATGCAGGCGTTGTCTGGTGGGGAGGACGGCCCAGGTCTTTTTCAGGAGGAAATCCTGTGCATCACGGGGGGTGCCGCAACGGAGCGAGAGTAATTCGCGTCTCGCGCGCTCAGCTCGTTTTTGTTCAGTGTCGCTCAGCTGCTTCCGCGTGATGGCTTCAACGATGCGCGCTGGCTGGTCCTCATCCACATCGCCTTCGGGCACTTCTTGCCTCAACATGCGCCAGGTAGCCGACGCCGTTTTATATAAGGGCGTGGGTGCCTCAGCAAAGGTTCTGGTGTGGCGGCCTGCATCCAGCCAGTCGTGCTTCACTCCACTCCAGTAGAGGAGTAGGTTGCGCCCTAGGTAATCGCTCACGCGCGCGAGCATGCGGGTAGTTTTCAGGGCCAGGACTCTGCTCGTGGTCAACACGTGTGGTAGGCCGAGACCCCCTTCTGACACTGCCAGTTGTAGCAAGTTATGCTTCAATGGTGGCGGTTTCCCATCCCAGAGGTATGCGTTAATGAGTTTGGTCAACTCGCTTGCTGTTCTTGTGGGCATCACCGCTACTCGGCTCGCATGCAAGGCTAGGGCGCAAACGCTTGTTTTGACGGCTACGGCTCTCTTGCATAGCGTCAGGCCTTGTAGGCTAGCGCTCTCTGACACTTGTGCAGCCCTGTCCACGACTCGGAACCACGTTGAGGCCGTAACTCCCTCGCTGGAAAAGTATATACCGAGGAGCTTAACAGCGGTGACTACCTCGAAGTTGCCGATCACGTGCGCCGGGAAATGGCCGAATAGGAGGGCTTTACAGTTTCTCTCATTTAGCTGTGCACCTGATGCTAGGGCGTATGACGCGAATACCTGGTGAAAGCGATCGAGACCGCTTCGATCTCGCACAAAAAGGGAGATATCGTCAGCGTATGCGAGGACTTTCAGGTCCGGAGTTCCTGTGAGAGGAAGGCCCCGGATGTGCGCATCGCTTGCCAGGGATGTAAGTAGCGGC